TGATGCTGATGCTGATGCTGATGCTGATGCTGATGCTGATGCTGATGCTGATGCTGCTGCTGCTGCTGCTGCTGATGAAGCTAGCACACAGTTATACTGTAGTTACTGTGCTGAGGTGTATGCTTTTATCTGTCTATTCTCATAGCTGATCTACAAGCATAGACACTATTGTTTCTACCATCTTGCAAGGACTCTGAGGCTCCTGGTGGTTCAGCACCTTACTCAGAATCCAATTAGAGGCCATGGGATTTCCCGGTCTATCTTCCTCCATACCTATGCTTTAAGCCACTGTGTTACTCTGCTCAGCACCACACCCAGCCATATTCCCTGTGAATTGGCAGCTCATTCCCCACCCCAGCCCCACCTCCACTCCCTGACCTCTCACAACCGATCTTGTGTTGTTTGTATCTGTCTTGTTTCAAGGTTTCCCCTATGTGCCTACTAATCAGGGAATAATGATTACAGGCCACCTGCCAGTTAATGACTTGGTGGCAGTTATAAAACTATTTTTCTATTCTGTGACCTTGAGTCTAGACAGGGCGCCATGCCCTGAGACCATCTCAGCAAGCATTTCAAAACTCTTGTAAGCAGTGATGTGTCCAGACAGTGGGGTTGCCGAGACGGTGACTGAAACCTATTCCCAGGGTTCATGCAGTTCATCATCCAGGTCTTCACTGCTGGTCCTCTCCAGTTTATGTTGTAGAGGTGGACTGGTCCCCTGATACACCTGGAGAGAGAGTGGTCCTCACCTGTGACACTCCTGAAGAAGATGGTATCATCTGGACCTCAGACAAGAAGGATGATATTGTAGGCTCTGGGAAAACCCTGACCATCCAAGTCAAAGAGTTTTTAGAAGCGGGCCAGTACACCTGCCACAAAGGAGGCAAGACTCTGAGCCACTCACGTCTGCTGCTTCACAAGAAGGAAAATGGAATTTGGTCCACTGATATTTTAAAGGACCAGAAAGGTAATTTCATTCCCTGGCATAGTCTAGGATAGTAACTTTTCTTCTACATCCCTTCCGAGAGAGAGAGAGAGAGAGAGAGAGAGGATCTATGAGTTTGAGGCCAGCCTGGTCTACAAGGGTTAGTTTCCAGGACAGGCTCAAAGCTACAGAAAAACCCTGTCTTGAAAAATTAAAAATTAAAAAGAAAGGAAGGAAGGAAGGAAGGAAGGAAGGAAGGAAGGAAGGAAGGAAAAAAGGAAGGAAGGAAGAAAGAAAGGTGTGTGTGTGTGTGTGTGTGTGTGTGTGTGTACAGGTACATATGTATGTGGAGGCCAAAGACAACCTTGGATATTATCCTTGGATTGCTTTTCGTCTTCTTTGAGACAAGAACTCTCATTGGCCCATAGCTCACCAATAAGATGGACTGGCTGGCCAGTAACACCCAGATATCCTCCTGTCTCTGCCTCCCCGGCTCTGAGATTACAAGTGCATGACATCACTCCTGGCGTTTCTCCCTGACTGCTTAGTGAAGTTGGTCCATGTGCTTTCAGAGCAACTTTATCAGTTTCACTATCTTTGGAGACCATTTGCCCCTCCCAAGAAACAGAAACACTAAACATTCGAAAAGAACATATTTAATGCAGTTATTGATTAACCACAAGACCTAGAATCTCCATTTCCCTCAGTTTTCCTGGAATTCTTGGGCTATCGGCCATTAATATCTTACACCGAGAGAGACCGAGAGAGTGTGGTTGTCTTTCCTAATGCAAGGTCTCAGGTTTTCTTTTAGTAACAACGACGCCGTTGGACATCTGTTAAAAGTTACCCAATGTGTCCATTTGATAGCTCAATGCTGGTGTGACAACTTTGAAAAAAAAACTGAATATTTCTGTCTAATGGATGTAATGTAAGTGCGAGCAGTATATCACACTCTACGGAATGAGCATCCTATCCAGGTCTTACCAGTCTGTGCCGAAACACATGCCAAGAGGGCAGCTTTTTCCATGAAGCTGATAAAAGAATACCAGGTGTATTTTGGTGGCATGTAGGTATACATGCAGAGCGCTCATACATAAAATACAAACAAACAAATAGAAAGCAAGCAGAGCAAAACCTGGGGCAGAAGCCAGTAAACTTCCTGCTTCCAGGTTCCCATTTAGAATTCCTGCCCTGACTTTGCTGGATGAGGTACAAGCTGTAAGATGAAATAAGCTCTTTCCAAAGTTACTTTAAAAAAAAATCCCCACCCTTATACCATTTAGTGGCTTGTGATTCATTCACAAAAAAAAAAAAAAATTAATCCTAATCTTTCTTTACTAAAAGAAAATGCCTCAATGTTGGATTTTTTTCTTTCTTTTCTGACACAGATCCCAAAAATAAGACCTTCCTGAAATGCGAGGCAGCAAATTACTCCGGACGGTTCACCTGCTGGTGGCTGACATCCATTAGCTCTGACTTGAAGTTCAATGTCAAAAGCAGCAGCAGGTAAGGAAGAGAGCCGCTCTGACTTCTCAACATTATCCTAGACCTAGCTCACACAGAACTTAAGTACAAACTGTCCATGGTTTATCAGTGAAGGGTATGGGGACAGCAAAGTCGATTCTGTATTTTTTTTTTCCACTTTCCCTCAGTTTTAAGCCTTAAGCCGGCCCTCCGAGGATAGTTGTTAGGTGAGTTTGAATTCACTCATCCAAATTGCCTGGCAGCTCTTCATTAAGGCTTACAGCACCATGGGGAGAAATTAGAGAGAACTCTTAGCTACAAAGAACTTGCCAAAAACTCTACCTTGTGCCAAAACCAGAAACAAGTGCTCTAGGGCCTCGCTCTCGGAAACGCTGAAGCAGATTCTAGAAACCTCTGAGACCGTCTGAAATTTTCCTAGAGCCTTCCCAACTTCTCCCTGCTCCCCTCCCCGCTCCGCTATTCTGAAGTCCAGTTTGACCAGCACACTTGGGCTTTCCCTAGGAAACCATTTCCCAGAGCTGCCGAGCCAGTGTGTCAGACCGCTCTGCCCCTAACGTTAGTTATTAGCCGACTCCCTGAGCCACGTGGAGGGCCGTGGAATAAACACCCGGGGTCCACTACTGTCTAAATAAGTAAATTAGGGACTCAATTCTCCATCTTCAGCATGAATTTACTATGACTTAAACATAATTAGGAAAAATAATGGTTCAGGGTGACATCAAAGTCCTTGCTGCTCATAGGAAAATTTTCTGAGCTGGGGCCCCTAGGTATACTCACGTGCATTGCAGGACACATGCCTGTGGTAGCATGCCAGACCTCTATTTGCTTAAAAGAAAACCCATTTTCTTGCTAGAGAAATTCTTGTACATGTTCATGAAGACACTGGTACATGGATAAGGGACATAATAGTTTGCATAATCGGCAAAGGAACACTCCAATAGAGCAGTAATGTGCATTTATTGAAAAGAATAACCCAACTTATACGTTCTTCATAGAGAACTCCCCACAATACTTTAGGAGAGGAAAAAGATGGTTACAAAATCATATATATATATAATTTTCTTGTATTTTTAAAGTCATGCTAAAATATAGATAAAAACACATATGTACATGTATGCATATATGTATAGGATGATCTTGAATAATCATTTAAAAATTCCAGAAAATTGTAAATAATATCTATATCTGGGACTCAGATTTGAGTTAAAATGGGGACAGCAGAGACACGTATATTTTCTTTATAAACATCTTTGTCGTTCCGTTTTGTTTTGTTTTTGCTATTGCTTTGCTTTGTTTTTGAGACAGGATTTCTCTGTGTAGCTTTGGAGTGTGTCCGGGAATTCTCCCTATAGACCAGACTGGCCTCAAACTCATAGGGATCCACCTGTCTCTGCCTCCCAAGTGCTGGGATTAAAGGCCTGCGCCACCACCATCCAGCCCATTGTCATTTTAACTCTTTATAATTAGTATTTATTGATCTTATGAATGATAGAGAGAAAATTTAAATTTTCAGTGAGGGGGTTTAACAGGTTCTCTGGCATTAAAACATTTCCAGGTTTATTTAGGCAAGAGTTATAAGTTTTAGACTCTCATAGCGTCCTCTCCTGGAAAAGGCTAGCTTGGCTTTTGAACCCCAGAGGATAAATCTAACCAGCTCTGTAGCCTGTTCTCAGACAGACGATGGTCACCAGGCACTAGCTCTCTGATCTATAACACAGAGCAATTTCTGTCTTGGCCCTCAGCTCCTCTGATTCCCGAGCAGTGAGCTGTGGAGAGGCATCTCTGTCTGCAGAGAAGGGCATAGTGAACCAAAGGGAATATAAGAAGTACTCGGTGGCATGCCAGGAGGATGTCACCTGCCCGACTGCTGAGGAGACCGTGCCCATTGAGCTGGTGTTGGAGGCGCAGCACAAGGACAAATATGAAAACTACAGCACCGGCTTCTTCATCAGGGACATCAGTGAGTTTTGCATGGGAGCATGAACCTGGGAAGCAAACATGCTTGGGAAGCAAAGATGCCGTGTGCCACATGGTCATGATCCCCTGGGACATAGGATTTATCTGCAGAAGACCTTTTCATTCTGCACCTCCTGAAAAGCATGACATAGAAACTCTTGTCTGCATTTTGCAGAGGAGGAAACTGAAAGATTAAGCTGCCTTTCTCCAGATCTCTAGTCTCACAGCTCAGACCCTGATTTCCCTCATGCAGCAGGCATTTGGGGACATGTCTCATCTGCTCGCCGGATAGATGAGTGATGAATCTGAGAGTCACTGGGTCATCTGCCCTGAGACCAGGACTTCCCTACCATCTGCGGTTTTCACAGCCCATTTTTCTCTAGCCATCACATATATGTGTGGAGTTATAAAATCCTTCAGACATCTACTTCTAAATTGACAGACAGAGAGTTTGTCTTTTCTCATTTCCTTTACCACATATTCATGGAAAGGTCATCCTGATAGAATGTGATGGGGATCAGAGACCTTGATGCAGAATTTTCAGAAAGTCTATGGTTGGTGGGATTGGGTCTTGACACAGGGGATAGCAAGGGAGGTACCCTCTGAGAAGATGATGTTTGGCAGAGGCCTAAAGCCTCTGTTCATTGTATTATTATTACAGTATTATTATTATTCCTGTTGTTGTTGTTATTATTCATTGTAGTAACAATACGATGAAGTGCATTTGTGAAGTGCCTAGCAGGAACAGTATAGTCATTTTGTGGAACAGAGCTAGGCTTCCTAAACTGGAGCATATGCCAGAAATGTCTCCCCCTCTAGGAGAAAGAGCCACCTGAAGATCATGATACTCACTGTATTGTCTGACAGAATCTAGGGGTGGCACCTAGTAGATTGTAAGTCTTGGGTCAGTTACATGCTTAGTGCAAAGTGGGGAATCAAGTCCAGAGAGGGTGTCCCTGACTGCAGAGCCCAGATACTAGTCTTTATTAAGCAGGACGACAGCAGGGGCCTGCCAGTCTGTGCAGTGAAGAAAAGGCTCAAAAACATAGGATGCTGTCCATAACAGCGACCTCCTCACGTGGAAGAAGCATCCTCCATCACTATACCTCACAGGGGCTGCCTGGGTGCTCAGAGAAGAGGATAGGCTATAGGGACTCGAAGGTGGAAGGATCAATCATCCAAGATCAGAAGCCTAAACCCAGGCTCCAAAACCTGGCGAGATAATAAAGGAGGTTTATCCTCTTCTGCAGTCAAACCGGACCCGCCCAAGAACCTGCAGGTGAAGCCGCTGAGGAACTCTCAGGTGGAGGTGTCCTGGGAGTACCCTGACTCCTGGAGCACTCCCCACTCCTACTTCTCCCTCAAGTTCTATGTCCAGCTCTATCACAAGAGAGAAAGGGTAAGGTGGGGGCGGGGGCACAGGCATGGTGTATCCAGGTCAGGTTTATGCAGCCCATGTGGGGACAATGTGAAGATCCTAACAACCAGGCAGGCACTTGCTGCAGGGATAGACCTGTGCTGAGGACTCTCTGTGTATCACACACAACCCACACAGAGGCCCAGAGGCGCCTCTTCACAGAGGACAGTGACGTTCAGAGAGGCTATGACTTGTCCAAGTTCACCTAGCTAGAGCAGTGACAGAACCAGGACCCAGCGTCACTCTGCTAGAGGCAAAGGTTGTGACTCAAACCACCCCACTTCCTCCAGGACAGTCAACTGCTAATCCTTAACTATAACTGTCAATGATAAAGAGAGGGCCAGGCAGTGGTGGCGTGTGCCTTTAATCCCAGCACTCGGGAGGCAGAGGCAGGAGCATTTTGTGAGTTCGAGGCCAGCCTGGTCTACAAGAGCTAGTTCCAGGACAGGTTCCAAAGCTACAGAGAAACCCTGTCTCGAAAAAACCAAATAAATAAATAAATAAATAAATAAATAGACCCAGGTTCCAGGAGCCTAAAATGATTGTTTCAACCAAGTGAAGTGAATGTAATAAAGGCTAGAACATTGGTGCTGTGCCTCATACAATATGGATAATTCCTACTTGTATAATATACAGAGCAATTGTTTCACCAAGCAAGGTGCTCACACTTATACAGACTAACATGGTCACTTTCCAGTCCTCTAGCCCTTAATACAGTGATCTCTTGCAAGTTTTTGGAGACAGTTTTATAGAGCCCTTAAAGTCACAAACCAAAGGCTTTTTTTTCCTACATAGCATTTAGAATGTGGTAACAATTCAGCTCAGAGATTCAATCGCTCTCTCTAAAAGTGGGAGCAGAAAATGAGGTTATCTTGAAACATTGTAACTGTTACCTAAATTTTGCTAAGTTTCAGCTCTGTGTATATGTATTTAACACTCATATCTTAAATAGGTAATGTTGGATGTTTTCTACTTGCTAAAAGCTTTCTGAGCACTTTTACATAAGTACTGTATTTACCTGCTTCAATTCTTGGAGGCAGGCATTATTGTGGGCCCCATTCATAAATAAGGAGAGATACAGAGAGCCAAAGACATGTTCCTGAAGCCCCACAGCTATTTAGTAGTACTGTCAGGATTTGAAGTCACCAATGTAAGCTGACAGGCATGTGGGGGATGTTGAATGTAGTATTTTTGGATAGCCAGAATACAACTAAGGAAGGTTGATCTCAGTCCCCCCATGAGCCTCATACTGGAGTCTTTGCCTGTGAACAAGACTACTATTCAGAGAGACAGAAGGTGACGCTTACTAAACAGAAAAGTGAAGCCCCCGGGAGATGGGCAAGTCAGTGAAGTGTTTTTTGCTGAAGCATGAAGACCTGAATTCTAACTCCCAGAAATTATGTAAAAGCTGGATGAAAAGCCTATATAACCCTGGCATGGCACGAGTGTGTGCACGCACGCACACATGCATTTACACATGTATTTACAGCTTCTGCCAGCAGGTGGTGATAGCGTCCTTAAGACAACCCTGTGTTTCTTTAAGGAGGTTATGTTCTGCAGAAACATGCCAGCCTGCCTTAGATTGCCTAAAGCCCTTACACACTTTCCTCTCCTTTGTAGAAAAATGACACTGTGATAGACAAGACCTCTACCAAACTCAAATGCCTCAAAGGTGCAGAGATCCGCGTGCAAGCTCAGGATCGCTACTATAATTCATCGTGGAGCAAATGGACATCTGTGCCCTGCAGTTAGGTGAGCAGGTCCAAAAATCCCAGACACACCTACACGTTCAGCTATCCCGGTGGAGGACAACAATGGTGGTGTGGCTTGTGAGAGAGGAGGGGATAGAATTCCTGGCATGGGGCTATCAGGATAACATTTGTTCATTACCAGATATTAATTTGATGTGTTTGTTAGTTCAGGCACTGTCCTGGGCCCAGGGATATTACAATAAAGAAAACAGGCAAGGGTCCTTTGTACAGGGGGGGGAAAGCAAGGAAGGCCAAATGCCAAGAAAGCCAGGAATCAGAGTCAGGAGGACCCGGAAGTAGATACAGTTGGAACATTGTCCTAGGGGCTCTGACAACCACTGAAGAGCTTTTAATAGCCCGATGCAATGCTCTTTTAAGAAAAATCTCTCGAGAGCCCCTGGCAAGCATGAGACTAATTGAATTCTGAGTCCTTTAAGGAAAGTCTGATCCTTCTCACATGGGAATCCCCAAACCCAATGGCTAGAGAGAAGGTGTGCTGAGCAATGGGAGGTACGATTCTGACTAATACAGACTTACTCACATTTACTTACAGGGTCTAGTCCCAAGATGCAACTTTGGAAGAAAAAAAAAAGTGGAAGACATTAGGAAAAAAAGTTTAAACTCATGATGGAAGAGACCCCTCCCAAAAGCTTTTTTCTACTTAGTTGGCTTTTCCAGTGTTTTAGCTTCATAATGATACCTTTGCTATATTTCTACATTTAAATGTCAAATGTTCACTGAGACAACGAGCTAATTTATTAACATAACGAGCCTTATGTTATTTAAATATTTAAGTAATTTATGTATTTATTAATTTATTTCTGTACTTAACATTTGTATACCAAGATGTATTGACTATTTCATGTTCTCATGACCTGATCCACAGGGACCAGGCCCTATTATGCAAAGTGTGATTTTTTTTTATTTTCTTCAACACCTTTTCAACCAGTGCACAGGTACCCTGGCTTTTGCGACAACCAATAAGAGCATAATGTTCTGACACAAGCAATGTTACGTATTTGTGACCAGTAAAGAAAGACACAGGGGATGTTAGGAGACTATGAAGAAGCTATGAAGGAAATTAGTGCTGGCTCCAACATCAATGAAGACTTCCTAGCAGTGGCATTGATAAGAAGCCAGGACCACCTGTGCTTCTAATAGTCTTTGGATACCTAAATTTAAAAGATTTTCTAAATCCAGGTTTGGGGCTATAGCTCAGACGGTAGAGTGTTTGCCTAACTTTCACAAAGCCATGAGTTTGGTCCCCAGCCCTGAATAAACTAAGCACGGTGGTGCATACCTTAATCCTAGCACTAGGAAAATGGAGGAACTTCAGAAAAATCAGGCATTCAGCATCATCCCCATCTACATTACAAGTGCAAGGCCAGCCTAGCCTATATGATATACTACCTCAAGAAGAAAGGAAGGAGAGAGGGGATAGGAAGAGTTAACTGGTTACCTCCTTGACAGTCCCCACCTCCAGCTCTCATAAGACACAGAATAGAGGCATCCTGGGTGTTTGGAAGATAAGGAACTCTTGGAATTGGCATTTGAGAGGAAATATAAGTATAGTTGTGTCTAAAGGACATAAAATCCAAAATTCCTTAATAACCATGCGAATGGATGCAAAGAAAACCATATAGAATCACTGTCTCATCAGCCTGAGTACAGTTATGACCTGACAGGTCTCCTCATGCCCCCGAAGGTACTACAGCGACATAGTGACCTAATACCATGCTTCTTGTAGTGATCGCCTTTGTCTATTTGTTTGTTTATTTGTTTATTTATTTATTTATGCCTCGTGACACCAAACAAATAAAAACTTTTCTTCACAACCATGGTTTGGTACTTTTCTCAGCTGACTTAGGCGTTCCATTTCCACGTCTATTTGGGTACCCTCCCCCTGGCCCCCCTCCCCCCTCCCCCGCCACCCCATCATCTAAGAACTGCTTCTCTTTGAAGTGATTTTATCTCCGATGGTGCAGAATCGCTCTTTCCTTTTATAGTGTCCCCAGCATCGGCACCTTGCTGAGCTCAGGGAAGGTCCCTGCAAGCTTCCCAGCAGGGACTCCACGAGGGCACAGAACTGCACTGTGCCCTCTTCAGGGGTTTGCTGCCCCATCATCAATCCTGAAATTATACTCTGATTTCCTCCCTTGTCTTAGTTCACTTCATATTGCTGTGATAAAAACCCCACAATCAAAAGCAATTGGGGAGGAAAGGATTCATTGTAACTTAAAGCGCGGGTAGTCCACTGTGAAGGGAAGTCAGGGTAGGAACTCAAGATAGGAACTAAAGCAGGGGCCGTGGAGGAGCACTGATTACGGGCTTGCTCTTTGAGACTTGCTCAGTTTTTCTTTCTTATATATGTCAGGACTACCTGCCCTAGAATGGCACTGTTCATAGTAGCCTGGGCCCTTCCACATCAGCAACAATAAAGAAAATGACCCTCAGACTTGCCTTATAGGTCAATGTGATGGGGACATCTTTTTTCTTTTTCTAATAATTTCTTTTTCTCTTCTCTCTCTTCCTTTCCCCTTTTCCCTCTCCCCTCTCATCTCTCTTTCTTCGTTTTACATCCCAGTCACAGTCTCTGCCCCCTCCTCTCTTCCCAGTCCCTATCCCCCACCCCACCTCCACCCTCTGCTCCCACCCCTAATTCACTCCTCCTCTGTTTCTGTTCAGGAAAGAACAGGACTTCCATAAATATTAACAAAACAAAGCTTATCAAGTTGCAGTAAGACTAAGTATCTCCCCACGTTTTAAGTCTGGTCAATATAGGGAGTAGAGTCCCCAAAGTCAGTAAAATGGTCAGAGACGGCTCCTGTTCCCACTGTTAGGAGTCCCATAAGAAGACCAAGCTTCTTGTAAAGTCGCTGACCCCCTCTGGCTCCTACAGTCATTTCTCCTCCTCTTCTGCAGGATTCCCCAAACTCTGCCTAATGTTTGACTGTGGGTCTGTATCTTTTCCCATCAGTTGATGAATGAAGCCTCTCTGACGACAATTGGGCTAGGCACCAATCTGGTCACAGGAGAAAGCTGGTTGAGACTATGTATCTACTATTGCTAGATACATAGTCTATGTATCTACTATATATCTACTCTAGCATCGGTCAACCTTGTGGGTTTCTGGGAGATTCCATTGCACCAGGTTTTTACCTGACCCTTTCCACCACCACCCCTTTCCAGTATTCTTTTTCATGACTCTCTTCCCTGCCCCCCAAACCTGATCACTCATGTTTCCAGCCCCACCCATCCTTAGTCCACTCACAGAGTCTATTTCCCCTTCCTAGGGAGACCCTGGTGTCCTCCCATGAACCCTCTTGGTTACCTAGCCTCTCTGGGTCTATGGATTATAGCATAGTTATCCTTTATTTTTGCAGTTAATATCCACTTATAAATGAGTACATATGATGTTTGTCTTTCTTGGCCTGGGTTACTTCACTCAGAATAATTTTTTTCTAGTTCCATCCATTTGCCTTCAAACTTCCTGATGTCATTGTTTTTAACGCCTGGGTAGTACTTCATTGTGTAAATGTACCACGTTTTCTTTATCCACTCTTCGGTTGAGGGGCATCTAGGTTGTTTCCAGGTACTGACTTTTACAAGTAAAGCTGCTATGAACATAGTTAAGCAAGTGTCCTTGTGGTATGAGTGAGTATCTTTTGGCTATATGCACAAGAGTAGTCTTGAGGTAGATTGATTCCCAGTTTTCTGAGAAACTGCCACACTAACTTCCAAAGTGACTTCCAAAGTTTGCACTCCTATCAGCCGTGGAGGAGTGTTTCCCTTGCTGCACATCCTCTCTGGCGTGAGCTGTCGCTTGTGATTTTGGTCTTAGCCATTCTGACAGGAATAAAATGGAGTCTCGGAGTTGTTTTGATCTGTATTTCTCTGATGACTAAGGATGTGGAGCATCTCCTTAAGAGTTTCCCAGTCAGGAACATTTTCCTAGCTGAGGGTTCCTCTTCTCAGATGACTCTAGCAAGTTGACAAAACCCTAACCTACACATCCTACACCATGAAATCAAACTCTGACTCTACATGAGATGAATGTCTTCCTCGTTTCCCCATTTCATCCACTCAGCTCCAGGACTCGTTGAGGATCTGTATTGTGTCTGTATGTCCAGTAGCCCTTAGTCTTTGGGGTTTCCAATGAACCTCATGCTGTTTCCCCTCAGAGTGCCCATTTCCGGTATTATTTATAAAATAAGGCCGGGCATGTCTAATCCCATTGAGTGCTGAGGTGCTAACTGTGTGTGATGTACCAGGATCTCAACAGACTGAACAGAAAAGAGAAGCCAGCTTTGTTTAAATCATGGGCAGGCCCTATCAAATTCTCCTAGTGGCTCCTATGGGAAGAGTTCACTAAGGGTGAACTCAGAAAGAATGGAGATCAACTTCCTGCTATCCTGAAAATCAAACTGTACAGCTGGGCTTCTTTGCAATGGTAGGGGGATTTTAGTATTTACTTAGAGTCCTGGTAGTATTTTCTAGAAGGGTGGGAGGTAGTTTCTGTCTTCCTATTCAAGCCACTGAAGTACAACATCCTGTTATGAGCCCACACTTGACAGCAGGGAACGGCCTCTAACACCTGTTGATTATCCTATGAGTTCTTTCATTTAGTGAAACCGCAACATCTAGTAGGAACTAAATGAACAATGATAGGAAAAGAATAACCACATTTTTAGAAGCACAGAGGCCTAGAGATGCTTCCCCGAACTTCCAGCAAGCTTAGGGCAGGCTCGGCTGTGCTGTTCCAGCCCTTGTTACACAGCGGCTTTTCTGACATGACCTCCTAATATTTGATTGATTTTAGTGCATGCAATGAAGCATTTCTCCATTTGAAGTTGATTTTCCAGGACAGACCTTCATAAAAGTCAAATAACTGGATGTAGTGATGGCACTGAGTGGCCTGGTCATGCAGTGCGAGTGCCAACCAACAGGCCCTGGTGATGCGCAAAGCCTTAAGACCTGCTATGACCATCCTGACGAGGTTAAGATGTGGTTGGTGAAGATGCTTCCAATAGTAGACCCTGAAGGGTTCTTTGTGCTGACAGAACATTAGTGTCATGGTTCGGTGGTAACCAGACCATGGGCACTTGGAGATAAGAGTTCATTCTTGAGGTACAGAAAACGCAGAAGCCCAGGAGTGTGGTCCTGGTGGAGCACAAGGCACAGGAGGACGCCACTGAGCCCCGGAAGCTGAAAGTCTGGAACTGGATGGAGAACCAGCAGTTACAGGGTCTGCACGTGGAAGGGCGGCAGCGGAAAGCAAGAGACAAAAGTAATGGCATGCCTACCTGTCGAGGAAGAGCAGACTTGGGCGCAATTGAAGGAATGAGCACTGTGCCCACAAGAGTGAAAACTTTCATGCCCAGGGGCACCATGGAGGCCTGTATAGAAGCATCAGGCTCCTGAAAGAGCCACCATTGGGCCAGGTGGTGGTGGTGCACGCCTTTAATCCCAGCACTTAGGAGGCAGAGACAGGAAGATCTCTATGAGTTCGAGGCCAGCCTGGTCTATAAGAGCTACTTCCAGGACAAGCTCCAAGGCTACAGAGTAACCCTGTCTCGAAAACCAAACAAACAAAAACAAACAAACAACAGAGCCACCTTTGGACCGGGACTAGAGAGGGGCAGGTGGTCAGCTCTCAATGCAGATGCTCTTAGGAACCCAGAGTCTTGGGCCGGTAATTATTAACTGCACAGAGGTCAAATATGCAATGCTGTGTTACTTCTGGACTGGGACCTCTCAGGGCACTCCTTCCCATTCTCCAGCTCTTATTTACTTCCCACTCTCCTTTTCAGGATGTTCGCCGAGCCTTGGGGAGATTGATACAGATGCCCCACTTAGAGGTAAGCATCCAGCAAGCGTTTATTCTCAGTACTTTGAACAGTTGTAAATCTCTGCATTAGCGGCTGCCCACCCACTGCAGATGCTTCTGTGGCTGGGGTTGAGAACAACACGAATCAAAGGACATCACCATAAATATTTAAAAGGCAGTTTGATAGCATGCCCATTTAGCTAAATAATAGCGATAAATAGGGCCACAATTTTGTAACATGAGGGGCCGGCTTGTTGGGGTATCTGTCCCACTTAGTACCCCACAGCCGGCAAGCCCCAAAGAAAATCACACACAGGACTCCATAAGATTATAAAACTGATTGGCCCATTAGCTCAGGCTTCTTGTTAGCTCTTATAACTTATGTTAGCCCACTATATTTGTCTATGTTAGCCACACGGCTCAGTACCTTTCTCAGCGTGGAAGCTTACATGTTGCTTCTTCAGTCGTCTGGGCAGGACTGGCGGAGGGAGCTTCCTGCTTCCCAGAATTCTCCTGTTCTCATTGCATCACCTGTACTTCCTGTCTGGTTTTCCCGCCTATACTTCCCGCCTGGCCAATCAGCATTTCTGTAAAATATGATTGACAGAATCCAGACAATTCTCCCACACCACAATCTTCCAAACCATTGCCTTTTAACCATGTTTATACCAGGCATGAATTCCTCAAATTCAGTCAGAAAGTGATCATTGACTGCCACTCTGACGTCCATGCCACTGTTGCACAAGTGGCCCCAACTTACAAGGCAGGATGAGGATGGAGTTACAGCATTCTGAGTGCTCTACCGGGTGATACCATTCATGAATCTTCTCTCCCAGAAGCCTGCATGGTACCTTCCAGAACTGTCAGAACAGGCCAGCAGCAAGTTTTCAGGTCAGTTCCAGCTTCATTTTTCCATATCCTGCCATGAGAGTGGTCTGCTTTGATGAATAAAGTTGTATTGGAGCTCTTCCACTCCCCAA